CCTTAAATTTCATGGGAAGTTAAGAAAACATACTGCTAGCAATATTGTGGAGATAGGATTTCATTGTTACAGCACACAAACCACAAGACTAAGAAAAGCGAGACAGATTAAAGTTGTGCTTTTTGTAATACAGTATATGATTGACACCACTATAAAGCACTTAGCTCTTTTTCTTGCAGAGTTATCTTTCCTCTCATAGTAATATCGGTTCATTTCCAATCTAAAATATTATATTTGCTGGATTTGTGTGTGTATTATTTAGTAGTAGATGTTTCACTCGAGTAGAGAAATCAATGTAGGCAGTTATCCAGCTCTTTGTCAACAGCTTTTTTCATCCTAGAAGCCTCTTAATGGCAATTTAGGCTTCAGTTACAGATGGTGGGCCAAACTCTGTGTACTTTACTCATGCATGTAATCCAATGTGTTTGAGGAGGAAACCAATAAACTCGGCAACCAATGAAACACAATTAAAGCCCATGAAATCCGATTCACAATTCCGGACAACACAATTTACTCATGGTTCCAATCACCAGCAAATCCAGAATCATGTGGTCTAATAATTAATAGAATAAAAATATGATCTGAATGTATGTCATTCCAGAACTCTTTGAATTGCCAGCAGAACTAAAAATAATGTGAAAGGTAAAGGGTAAAGGGGACACCTGACCATTAGGTCCAGTCGTGACCGACTCTGAGATTGTGGTGCTCGTCTCGCTTTATTGGCCGAGGGAACCGGCGTACAGCTTCCGGGTCATGTGGCCAGCATGACTAAGCCACTTCTGGCGAACCAGAACAGCACACAGAAATGCCATTTACCTTCCCTCCAGAGCGGTACCTATTTATCTACTTGCACTTTGACGTGCTTTCGAACTGCTAGGTTGGCAGGAGCAGGGACCGAGCAATGGGAGCTTACCCCATTGCAGGGATTCGAACTGCCGACCTTCTGATCAGCAAGTCCTAGGCTCTGTGGTTTAACCCACAGCACCACCCGCGTCCCCATGTTAAAGGTAAATTTCCCTTAAAAAACCAGAAGCATTTCTTCTGGATATGACAGGCACTAACACCCCCAAGGGTATAATTCTTATTATTTTTTGGTACGCTATCGCGGCCGCAAGGGTGCTTATTGCAACATATTGGAAAAATGACAAACTTCCTACCAGAGTTGAATGGTTACTCAAACTGACAGAATATGCGGAATTAGCCCCTCTTTCCAAAAGAATCAGAGACAAGCCCAGACAAGAGTTTGTTTTAGAATGGAATAATTTCAAGATTTATTTGAAAAGTTAGTTCTAATCTAAGCACAGTAGTTGCCTTTGAATGATTTCTGTAAATAATGTGTATGAAAGAAAATGATACCGAAACAGAAAAGAGATTTTTTTTTACAAAATAATGATAAATCTAAGTAAGATGTTTATTATAAAAGAAATATGGAGAGGATGGGAAGTCATAGGTTTGTGTAGAAAACGCATAAATGAATTTGAATGCATTTTCTTGTGAACATAGATATTCTTATTGGATTGACTGCAATGAAGATAATTATGTTTTGTATATATATGGAAAATGAACAATAAAGCATTTAAAACTTAAAAAAGAATAAAAATATGATTACTGAAACATAAACTCTGAGTTCTGATTGGAAATCTAAATGAAGAGAATCAAATTGTCTGATAGTTCTGAGTTGAGCATTGGCAAATTGTAGTAAATGAATGATAGGTTTATGGCCCAATATGTATGTTCATACATAGAATGGCAGCCAGTTTAAAATGAAATTGCATAATATGAAATCACTTGGCTATAGCAACCATGCTTTCTACCCATGTCAAGGTGGGAAAGAAAAACAACAAGACCGAAAATCATGAAAAAGTGGAGTTGTGCTGCTGTACATGAAATAACCTCCCAATTCCCCTCAAAATCCAAAAGCCACACAGAATCTGCTGTATCTCCTGTATCTCACACAAACTTTTTATAAAATAAGGGAAATAGTTTATTGAATATTTACAAACAAACTGTAAATGGATAAGAACATTGGCAGGATTATTGCAATAACATGCAGTTTTATATATATAAAGTTTATATATAGAAAGAGAGAGAGAGAGAGAGAGAGAGAGTGTGTTAATTTGGATATTCAGAATATATTAAAAATAAATTTAAGGAACTGCAGAAAGAGGGGGGAGGAAGTCAAGTTTTGAAATGTTAAAATGATTGCAAAATTAATGAAATGTATAAACTTGAAAAGCATAAAAAGCATAAATAAAATTGAAAAACAAAATCATGAAAAAGTGGAGTTATGGTGTTGTACATGAAATAACTGCAACCAGAAATTCAAAAGCCACACAGGATCTCCTGTGTCTCACACGTTTTATATCTGCACGCCGAACTCAGAGAAGCTCTGCACTCATTTCTGTCAATTCTCCAGTCAGACAGCTCTCTGAAGCAGTTAGCCAACCCTAATCCAAAACTATGGCAAAGAGGTCCCGACTCCGTGTCTCTAAGCAGAAGGTGGTGATGACTGAATTTCATTTTCAAGGAGTGAGCACAGCACTTGCGAATATATATATTTAAAAGAAGCTCTGAAGATGGATTGACCTTGCAAAATGTTCAAAACCAAAACAGTGCACGGGTAACTTAGTTCTCAAACTTAATCTGTTTCGGAAGTCCGTTCCAAAACCAAAGCGCGCTTTCCCACAGGAAGTAATGCAAAACGGATTAATCCATTCCAGACTTTTAAAAACAACCCCAAAACAGTAATTTAACATGAATTTTACTATCTAACGAGACCACTGATCCATGAAATGAAAGCAATAATATACTGTAGTATAAAATGAATAAGACAGTATTGTAGATGATAAAAATTAAAATTATTATTTTTTCCTTACCTGCACTGATGATAGTCATTGTTTGGATGGGGGGCTTTTATCCATTTCTGCAGTCACGCAATCAATCAATCAATCAATCAATCAGTAGCTGAACTGGGTTCCACACACTCACAAAAACAAATTAACCTAAACGGCCTCAAAAACAAAAACACAAAATAAATAGCAAAAACAAAAGCAGCAAACTTAATCCGTTCCAGAAGTCCGTTTGACTTCCGAAATGTTTGAAAACCAAGGCACAGCTTCTGATTGGTGGAAACAATAGCTGACAGCCGTATCGGATGATTGGCTTCTGAAAAACGTTTGAATACACTTACTCCCAGGTTTTCGGCATTTGACAACCAAGGTGTTTGAGAACCAAGGTACCATTGTATTTCAGTATCCTACACACTTGCAAACATGGATGACAGTGGGCTGCAGTGGGCCTTGAGGCCTAACCCACATATTTTTTAAAAAACACTGGACCCCCCCTCCGCCCCCCCCTCCTCTCTCTCATAGGATTCCTTATTTATCTCCAATATACTAAACCCAAGGATGACAATTGTGGCAACTCCAATACTCTATCGGTGACTGCAGCTGCTTTTAGATCAAGCCAAACCTCAAACTGGGACCCAGTTCATGCTGATTTTCATGATCAATGGCTTTGTTTAAAGCCAAGGACATGCTGTTGGAATCTTTGCATTTGTGCTATTGAATTAAAATAAGTAAAAGTTGCTATCTTTGTTACGAAGGAAACTAATGCAATGTGATTATTCTTTTCATTATATCGTATGAGTGACAATCCCTCAGCAGGAGAAGCCCTTAGCTCCAAAGGTATTCTGTTTCAGAGGTTTTTGTGTGTGCGGCAGACAATGAAATAACCGTGTTTAAGCTTTCTTCCCACTTTCTGCTATTTAGTTCTTCAAAAGCCTATAGCAAACTTTTAAAAATTACTCTTTGAAACCTATCAATCTTATTACCGCTCTTCCATTTCCCAATCTTAATATTATTTTTCCAAGATCAGTCAGAACCGATATCATTGTTCAGTGGAAGTTTGGACACACAAGGCAATATTGCGCATATTTGTGCACTTAGCATAACAAATGTCCCTCACTATGAAGTGGCACACTGCTTTGGTTCGAGTGAAATCATGTTTTCTGCTGCAAAGTTTTTAACACTGAAGCTAGCCACGGCAATTTCTCCTTCAGAGCCATTAGTGCAGCTACCTGTAACCAGATGTAACAATTTCAAGGGTATGGGGAGGGAGTCCAATTGTACTTAAGTACTCACACCTGTTCAGGACAACTCTCTTTTTCTTTTTAAAAAAATAAGTCTTCTCTCATCGAGGACTGGGGAAAATTAGTTGAATACTGGGAATGTATAAGTGATAATGGAATAACGCTAGTGGCATTTAGAGAAGCTCTGTAACAGCATAAGAAATATTGTAAAAAGGCAAAATAGAAGTGGGGGGTAGGTATAAAGGCAATAGCAAAATTTGGAAATGTGTAATTGAAGAAGTTAGAATTTGGGTGATTGGCAGAGAAGCCGAAGGAAGTAAAAAACGGAAAATCTAATAGAAATTGTAATGTGGTATGAATGTATGGAAAATTAATAAAATATAATTAAAAAAATAATAAAAAATAAGTCTTCTCTAAGAAGGGTCACAAAAGAAAAATATTGTGGAAGAAAGAAAGGAAACTTGAACCTCAATAACCTTTCCCAAATGGTTAGCCATTCAGACTAGTGCACTGATAGCGGGTGGTGCTGTGGTCTAAACCACTGAGACTCTTGGGCATGCTGATCAGAAGGTTGGCAGTTCAAATCCCCGCAACGGGGTGAGCTCCTGTTGCTCTGTCCCAGCTCCTGCCAACCTAGCAGTTCGAAGGCACACCAGTGCAAGTAGATAAATAGGAACCACTGCAGCGGGAAGGTAAACGGCATTTCTGTGCACTCTGGTTTCTGTCACAGTGATCCATTGCGCCAGAAACAGTTATTCCTGCTGGCCACATGATCCAGAAAGCTGTCTGTGGACAACCACTGGCTCCCTCAACCTGAAAGCGAGATGAGAAAGCAATCCAGTTGCCTATGACTGGATTTAACCATCCAGGGGACCTTTACCTTTATCCCCCCCTTTTTTTTAAATGATAGGCCATAGTAGTATCAATGCACCACATCAGTGCAGAAGACTTCCTGTTGCCCTGTGTGCTGCTGCAACACATCATCTTCCAGGACATTTGCTGGCAAAATTCCGGTCTCTAAAATCCAAAGCAGTCTACAAGCGGGATGTAGGAAGAGTCAGTGGACATTTGGAAAATAAATGCATCCCAGGGAACTTTTTCCTAGAGTGGAACTGGCTCATCACTAAAGATGGAATAGCTGTCGCCATTTTGGAATTAAAAGTAAGAATGTGCTGTTTTATTACAAGGGGCAAAACTCACTAGTCAACAGAAGGCAACCAACCATGCCCTGCCCCCCCCCCCCCCAATTCTTCTCTCATTGCCAATGAAAACAAATAAATGAAAGGAAAGAGATCCTACCCACATGACGCTTACACAAAAAAACTCTCATCTTCCCCCCTCTCTTCTCCCCCAACCTTATACTGTATACATTAAAGTCTCACATCAAATATTACTGATATGTAAAAAAAGTCTTTATGATCTTAAAACAGAGACATGTACTGTATATATGTATGTATGCAGAAAGAGGAAGGAAGGAAGGAAAAGAAATGTTACCATGGGCTTCTGCAAGCCTATTTCACTGGAGAGATTGCAGGACCCTCTTTGGGCCTGTACAGTAATGTTCAGGACTCTAAGGAGAGTGTCTCTAGACCAATGTTGCAAGGATCTGGCCCCTAATCTCAAAACAATCCAGTTATCTCTACATTTATCTATTAATCTCTCATCCAATATGCAAATATTGGAAGAGAGTTCAGCTTTAACATGTTTTTGCTTGAGATTTCATTATATTAACGACCATTACTAATGACTGACATCTGAACATAATGTGTGAAATACTTAAGAACATACAGCAGTTTTTCACTTTCTGGGTTCACAGGAAATCGCCTTCTATTGACTCGGGCTATTAGTTCATCTGGTTCAGTACATACACAAACTTGCGGGAGCTGTCCAGGATTTCAGACAGGAGTTTTTTTCCAATTCCTACCTGGAGATGGCCAATTTGGGTCTTTCTTTATTCAAAGCATGTACTTAACCAAAAGTAAATTTAAAAATGTAGCATTATCCATTTTAGATGAAGAAGTAAATGCTTTGGAGAGCTGAAAGGTGGTTTTCATTTGGAGTTTTGTTGGTAAATTTCAAGCTACATTGAGTGACTTTATTCTAAAGCTGTGCTTTAAAATTATATATATATAGAATGGTATTGATGCTCAGCTTAGGAACTGAGGTGCTCCCTACATAGGAATTATGTACAGCAAACATTAATCTAGGCACATGCAGGATGCTTTTGTGGTAAAGGAAAAAATATATACATTTATAATATTCAGCCCTGTCCTAAAACATCACACTCTTAGCAGACTCTGATGTTACTGTGGAATAGGAGAAGATAAAGAATGAAAAGCTCAGAAATCATAGGGAGGCACATATATTGCAGCCAAGCTATAGGAAAGAACCAATCTCGCAGCATTTTTATAGTCTGCTTTTTTCCTAAATAAATCTAGCACTCCTGTGGTTTTTGCACAGGCTGTCTTGATTTTCTGAAGATAAGAGGGGGTTCCTTTTCAACATTTAAGAAAAGGCAAGAATCGGAACACAACGGCCTAAGGATCTTGAATTAAAATGTCATGGTAATAAGGCATGTCATCTCTGCAATGATGGTACTCTATAGTTAAAAAGAGAAATGCCTAATAGCTTTGTGAAAGACCTGAGCTCAGGTAAGGTGACTCTGTTTATGGCTGGGAAGATAGGCCTTCAGGCTCTACAAATAAAATGAAGATCAGCTAATACTTAGCGTAAGATAGTAACTAAAACTGTCACTGAAGATTCGTGCATCTACACACCCATCGTCCACCATAAAAGGTATCTTGCACACAATAAATTAAAAATAGCAACAGTAATAACAGCAATCCAACACTGGCATTGGAAAGAAGAGCAGATGATTTGTCTCTGACACCCCGACCCCAACGATATTACGGATATTAATATGGCACAGTTTGAAGCAACTGGAAGCATAAGAACTGACTCCTTTTGGAAATAAAGCATTGTCCAGACTCATATTATTCAAACTGTTACTTGCAGACCTGTATTCCTAGCAGAATTTAAACATCAAATATACATCAAAAATGCCTGCTCACCTGGTCCGGCGGTGGGCAGGATTTGGGGCCCCATCGTCCTCACAGAGCCACACCCCTCTGCTAGCTGTTGCCCCACCCCCTTGGTCACCATGGTGCATTGTGCAGACAGGCAGAGACCCCCCCAAACCTAGGCGACCCCCGTGTGGAATAATGACTCAAGATAATGTGTTATGGGATTAAAATCTGGCCACAACTTTATTAAAACTTCAGATGTAGGGAGACTTAGGCTTAGGCATTGGGCGTTGCCCCTCTGGGGAACATCAGGGTTGTCCAGAATGTGTGGGGATTGGGCTGGCTCTGGAGAATGTCTGTTCAAGCAGAGAGCCCGCCCCCCCCATTTTGCCGCCATCGCAGGGGAGAGCAATGACAATCTAATGGCATATGGCCAATGCCTCCCCTCAAAACAGGGAACTCTGGGATTGCTGCCGCAGGGAGGGCGTGGGTCACCACTTCACCCCCCCCCCATTTAGAGAAGATAGACTAAAGGATTCCGCCCAAGGCCTGAAACTGCCAAAGTTGTGACGTTTTGCTACGGGGAAGGCAAAACCTGCCAGTGCAGGAAAATTCCTTTCCAGCCCTTCAACAGCAACCATAACATAGCAGCGCCCATGTACCTGTGAAGAAGAGGTTAACCTGCAAAAGAAGGCTTAACTAAGGGAGGGCAGGGTTGGGGAAGTTCTGGAGCCGACTGAGAACTCCAAGGTAAGTTCCACCCACTGTTGTGTGGGCTGGTTGATTCTCTCCCCTTACCTAGCCAACTCTCTCCTGGCAACGTCCCCCCAGCTGGGATTGGGTAACTGGCAGAGGCAGGAGGCTACCTCCAGGTGTCCAGCCTGGGGGCGGGCATATCTAGGCTATACTGCTGGGAGCCGCATGGGATCGGGGGGGCGGCGGCTGCGCATGACCACGCAAAAGGCGTCCCCCATTTGATGTGGGGAGCAGTCATTCTGGATTCCCACCAAACCTAATTTCAATATTGTCCACAGAAATACTTAGAAAATGAAGAGTTACAGGGAATCTGTACGTGATTGCCAACTGGAGCAGGATTTGAAATCTGATTCAGTAGACAGTTGCCTTCCCATGAAATTTAAGTATGCTAAAGTTAGGAAAAAGAATGGGAAATGATTACTGTTCAATTGCAGAGTTGAATATGCTGAAATAGGTTGAAATGTCGGCAGGCCTTGACTAAACCCTTGCAATTAATAGAAATATGGATAAATTAAGAGAAATAATAATTGGTTAAGAATGAACATGGAAATGCAGATTCTTTATATAAAGAATCAAGAAGAGGGAATGGGGGAAGTCATGAGGTTTAAAGACCCTCAACGATAAGGTTTTGAAAAAGGTATTTTTGAATTTGGGTATTGGGGGGTGCTATTGTGATTAAATGTGGGATTCAGTTGTGAAAACCAATAAAAAATTATTGGGGGGGTGCTCTTTTGTTGACCACCATCATTACGCTTTTCATTTTTAAGTTTGGAATAGAGTTGTTGCTTTGGAAGACGATAATCAGGCATCCACACAACATGACCAATTCAGTGAAGTTGATGTTGAAGAATCATTGTTTCAACACTGGTGATCTTTGCTTCTTCCAGTATACTGGCATTAGTTCGCCTGTCTTCCCAAGTGATGTGTAAAATTTTTCGGAGACACCATTGATGGAATCTTTCGAGGAGCTGGAGATGGCATTTATAAGTGGTCCATGTTTCACAAGCATACAGTAAGATTGGTAGTACAATAGCTTTGTAAACAAGCATTTTGGTTTCCCTGCAAATGTCCCAGTCCTCATGTTCTCTTGATAGCCGTAGCTTTGCATAAGCCAGCCCAGGAATTCCCTGTCTGACACAGCTCTGAAAGTATGTTACCCAAATCAATCACAATCCTAGCATTTATTCATTCCCAGGGTTTAGGGGGACCCCCCCAAAAAAAAACCCTATAAAAATATGATACCCAGGGAGATACTAGAAGAACGAAGCTGTAGCACTTCTGAAATCACATTGGACAGATGAGACAAGTAGTGGAGAAATCGCCACCACAAATCCAATGTGATGGAAGACTTTCCACTAAACTCTCCTCTAACTGACTACTAAGAAAAGATAAAATCCACTTGCCCAGGATCCTCTCCCACCCCGGAAACTGCTTCCTCTTAGATATTCTCTATGTCCCAAGGCAGTCTAAACCCACAGTGGGAAGACTCCGCTGCATTAAGCAGATAAAAGAGCAAAATAAATTATTAGTGCCTTGGATGGCAGCAGCCTGGCATTTTATCTAAGGAGAGTATCGTGAGACTGCGATGCAGTGATGTTCCTGAAACTGGGTTAATACTGCCATGTTTTTCTTTGTCATAATCTTTATCAGAGTCCAGACCTCCCCCTTTGAATGCATTTCTCATCTGCCTGTCACTCTAAGGATGAAAAGGCCTGTGCTTTTCTCTGTCCTTTATTATGTTCTTTGTCATGAAAATGGGTTAGTCTGGTACCACATTTCAGATTTAATACTAATCTTTGCCCTGGGATAAAAAAAAGAAAAAGGGAGAGGAGTATTTGCAAGCACACAACAAAGATGCAGCAGACATTGAAGTTCTGTCACACAAATGTGTGTTGCTGCAGCGAGTTTCTTACACGTTTATTTTCTATATCATTCTTGCTAGGTCTTTTGTTTGTGTTTGAGTGTGAACAATTATGTCACTGCAGCTACGCCAGCCATACTTTGAAGATTAAAGCAAGAGTAATAACTTATTTCATCTGTACAGAGCACAAGGATGTGAAAGTAATTGTCCTTTCTGATTCAATAACCAGTAGCTGGAAACAGATGCTGCAGAAGCAACTTTTGCTCGACCTTGATGTTTACTGATGCAGATAATTGTGTGCGCGCGAATTTTGTATCTGTAATATTGACTCGCAAAGAGTTGAGCTGGCAGTTAAGATTTACAAAACAATCGTTTTCTACTTTTCTTTGTAATCAGCCCTGGATTAGCCCATTATAGAGCTCATCAAGGGACAATTCCCTGTTCTGTATTCTTCCTGATCATCTGGCAAATAACTTGCCCTACTGATGTACATCAAATCAGGGTGATCACCTTCTGAAATC